CACTTAAGTTTCGGTAACTTTTGCACCGATTCCTCAATTCTCGGAGTTATCTCTAATATACTCATGAGTTTCAATGACTGAAGTCGTGGCAAATGTGTATCAATTGAGTCAAAGAAACACTCGCTTAGCATAAATGGACTCAAATCCAGTGATAAATGTGTCAATCGTTTGCATTCTGACAATGATTTCACATTTAAATATAAATAATTTAGTTTTGAATATAATTTTGATCCCAATTTTAATCTCAGTTCTCGTAATCGTGTCAAACAACTCATGGATTCATAGATTTGCTGCAATTCTGTTACTTTTAAGTCATTAATACTGAATTCAAATTTATTTAAATGTTTGCAATCAATGGCTAACTGTTTGAGACAATCAATGAATGACTCGACATCCAAATCATGGCTAAATTCAGTGTAAATACATTTAAGACTAATTGTATTTAAAACTTTCAGTTTTGCAAACATATTAAACACATCAGACATATCACTCATTTGACGCATTTCTAGTCCAATAGACTTCAGTCTATTTGTGTAGTGATCTGTAAATACATTCAAACGATTGATCATTTCGTATGAAATGAATTTAAACGAGAATTGAGTCAAACATTTAACCAATAAGTCATTGCTTTCACTGAATATTGTCGATAATTCTCCGATTTTATTATCGACTGACAGTTGCCTGAGTTTAGTGTAGGACTTGTAATGAGATTTAAACACATTTACAGCCAATTCTGGTATTGATATAGCAGTCAATTGTGAGCCATATTTACACACAATTCTGTCCATTATTTTCACATCAATTGTAACAAACGTGACGTGAATTGCTGTCAAATGTTTCAATGAATTCATGTATCTCTCGAAGAATACCGCCTTTTCCTGTGAATCGATGGTTACATCAATGGATCCAATGTTTACACACTTTTTGAGCACCGACTCCAAGGCATCATTGGTTGTGTCCACTCTTATCGACAATTTGTTTATCAGTTTGTCTTTCACTTCAAAATCGTGTGAATGTCTTGTCGTGAATACCAATCGCTGCCACTGTTTGGACAGACATTCAAATCGGAAACAGTCTTCGAGTGATAGATAAGACAATACGAGTCCACACAAGTCATCACCGAATCTGTCCAACGAATCCTTCGGATATTCCTCTCGAGTCTTATTCATAGTATTTGATGACATCTTTGTGTAAAAATACAAACAATTAATGAATACTTTGTTTGAATTGATATAAAAAGTGATCAGAAAATGTTTGGAAAACGTACTTAACTACCGAGCATACCAGAAGAGGAAGGAGAAGTAGGTACAGAACTAATTGTCGGTTTGTCTGTTACTTAAGCGCCTAGTTATGAAATACAAAACTAAAAATGTTTTCAAAACACTATTTGTTGTGCAAAACAAGCATTCATTGAATTGAATGACAAACCACTGATTGCTTGCCATCTATAGGTCTATCCATGTATTACATGCTATCAAATGAAATACAAAACTAAAAATGTTTTCAAAACACTATTTGTTGTGCAAAACAAGCATTCATTGAATTGAATGACAAACCACTGATTGCTTGCCATCTATAGGTCTATCCATGTATTACATGCTATCTATTCATTTCAATTTGTGTCAAATAAGTTGTGAATTAATTTATTAAGTTTTATATAAATGTTAAAATGAATTATTTTAAACATATTCTTATTAATCAGAATTGATTACAAATTGTTTTATTAAAATGTGTTGTCAATATTTAAAATATAATAAAATATTGACAATTATAACTTGTTTTAATTTAAGGTTATATTAAACTATACAGTATATTCCTAGTGATAACCTACTTTTCAAACAGGATACAAATAATGTATAAAAAATTAATTTTATTGTTTGTATTCTTTATTATCTATGTATACTTATCACCAGGTGTATTTATATGATTTGTTTTCTATATATTTAAGTTACTGGTATATAACTGTGCTTTATAATAAAGTACAGTATCTATTACTGAACCCAGTTATCAGAGTCTATTTGAGTATCCCTGAGAATATTTGTTTCACATGTACTGTAGAAAGAATGTATGGCAACAAATGTACTGGATTATTGAGTGCTTTACTTTTAAAGATAATTTATAAATATAATACGTATAATACATTGGAATTTTTATTGAAACGTTGCAAGTGAAAACTACAATAGTTATGAAATATTTTGTTAATAATAAATAAGTTATAAAATTAAGTGGATCTAGTTAAAAATATTATTTGATTGTATAATGGTAAATAAAACAAATATAATTAGATGTGCAGTTTGTAATGATAAAGCGTGTGGTAAGAAAATGACTATTTATATGACAATACATAAAAATTTTGCTAGTTTATTATAATTTCGTGATTATTTAATTGGTCATTTATATTTAACATCAATGTTTATAAAATTAATAAATATAAATTTGTATAAATAGGACGAAATTATAAGGTGTGGACTTGTGTGTCGTGTAAATCGTTTTTCCGTAGGAATGCCTATAATTATCAAGTAAAAGGATTTTTAAAATAAATATAATTTTTACTATCGTATTATAAATCGCCTTTAAATATGTATACAAAATAATAATGATAAATTCCATACACTGTACCGTATTATACAATAGTATTTGCAATGCTATTATTCTGGCAATTGTGAGATCACCACAACGTCCAGAAAATTTTGTCAATTCTGTCGCTTAAGGAAATGCTTTGCAGTCGGAATGAAAAAAGTAATTATAAATCATATTTTAAAAATAATATTTAATTATTAGTTTGAAAATTAAATTTAATACTTATCAATAATAATTACTTTAACTGTAATAATCAATATTACACATTCAATACAGGAATGCATACGCAATGAGAAACATAAAATATTAAATCAAAAATGTATGACTGATAACACAAAAAATACCCAAGTGAATTGTCTGCATAATGTAATAGTTCCTGGGTCATTAGCCAACAGAAACAGTATAGATTCAAGTGCATCTGGTTCAAACAGTGACTTTGAAAATGAAAATACAGTGTTACATGATACAATTGCTAATAAAATTGATCATAAGTTAATACATCAAAATGTTATGACAAGTGAAACAGTATTATCCGTAATAAGACCGATAACTGACTACAGAAATACATTCAATGAATTGGAGGGCTTTAAGATAAATGAATTATTACATGTAACAGGGCCATTTCTTATGGGATTAAGCGGCGCTAATATTCCATATATTCGGTCAACTATGGATAATTCATTTGTTTTAGCAATCGATAAATTACTAAGCTTAATTAATAATTTAAGTGCATTTAAACCTTTATGCGAGAATGACAGAATTGCTATATTAAAATATGGGTGTTTGGATGCCATACATGTCCGATCAGTAATATATTATGATTTTGATAATGATGCCTTGAGAGTACCTATACCACCGCCACACACCCAGGTATGTGTTATATTTAAAAAATAATTAATATTAAATCTTATTTTTGGTTTATATGTACAGGATGATTATTTGGAATTCAGATTAAATTGGATGAAAATATTTAAATCAAATAGTAGCTTCCTGTACAACAACTTTTATAAATATGCCAGTACAGTTTGGGATTCAGATTCTATGGTTATAGAATTGGTATTATTTAATAATTTAGTATTTTATTAATTATTTTTTGAGTGGAGTGACTACTCATTTGTGAGTGAGTGAGTGCGTGAGAGAGAGAGAGAGAGAGAGAGAGAGAGAGAGAGATTTAGGGGTTTAAAATTAATTATATTTTTTTATCAGTTGGCTGTCATTGCACTGCTTAACCCGAATCGACCAAATATTATGCATAAAAATACCATTGAGTGAGTTATATTTATTTTAAAAATATATTTAAACTACTGAATAAGCATGTTACAATATTAAATAAAGATATTCTTAATTATATGATAGATACCAACGACGCGTTTACATGTATTTACTAAAAAGATATTTACTAATCAAATACCGGTCTGAATGTGAGGTGATGTCGAGGTTATGGAAATTGTCACAAATGCTATCAAATGCGAACCAATTGTCTGAATCCGTGGCCACAGATATCTGTCGCCAGAATCTCGATGATAGGGATCCACTGTTTCGGGAAGTGTTTGGTTCAACACATTCACAATAAGTATGACTTTTGCGACATTTATTTGAGTTAAGCATTTCAAATAAGTTTGAGTAAAAGTTTAATAAATTTTGAACTGTTGTTGAACACAGTTTTGATAATAATGTTATTTTTTTATTGATTAATAAGAAAATTTAATTATAAATTTCTAAATCAAATATGTACTATAATAAACTGAAATTAACAACTATTAAACGATTATACCATTTGTGAATAAATGTTTATAATTAAAGTAATGTTAGTACAGTATAGTAAATTAATGTCAAGCAATATTATTAAAACTGATGTATAAGTTAGAAGTATAGCTTTTCCTATTCACTACTATCATCGGAATCGGAATTATGATCGTTATAATAGTCATATTCGGGATCGTCTTCATCGGATTCAGTCATCAAATCACCCGCAAGAAGACCGCCATAATTCGCATCTATGTGTTCATATGTCCGCAAATCAAAGCATTTAAGTTTTGGTAACTTTTGCATCCATTCCTCAATTATCGGAGATATCTCTAATCCACTCATGAGTTTCAATGTCTGAAGTCGTGGTAAGTGTGTTTCAATTGAGGCAAAGAAACACTCGCTTAACATAATGTGATTAAGATCTAGTGATAAATATGTCAATCGTTTGCAATCTGACAGTGTATTTAGAGTCAAATCAATTCCCGTATCATTTGGATGACAATAATTAATGAATTCAAATCTTAATCTCAGTTCTCGTAATCGTGTGAAATATCCCATAGTTTCATATATTTGTACCAATTCTGGGAGTTTAATAGATTTAATACTGAATGCAAATCTCTTTAATCGCTTACAATCAATGACTAACTTTATGAGAAAATCAGTAAACGTCACGTTAATCACATTATCCTCTGAATGAATATTAAGACTAATTGCATTCAAAACTTTCAGTTTTGGCAACTCTTTGAACAAGTCAACTATGCCATACATGTCATTCAAATCAATTTCAATTGACTTCAGACTATTTTTGTAGTGATTTGTAAATTGCGTTAATTGTTGCAAATGATAGAAATAGTAATTAAACGAAAATTGAGTCAAACTTTTATACAATAATTCATTGTTTTCATTGAATATTTTGCACAAATCCATGAAGTTTTCATTTCCTGACAGTTGTCTGAGTTTAGTGTAGGACTCGTAATAATAATTAACTAAACAATACATTTCTGCAGTCATAGTAATAGCAGTCAATTGTGAGCTATATTTACACAGAATTCTGTGAATTATTTGACTATTGATTCTGCCTTCAAATGTCACGTGAATTGCATTCAAATGTTTGTATGA